GGGAGCTGCTATTTTATATTATGACTGCTTTTTAAAATTTTGTTCGTGGATCTGATAAAATCTAGATCTCTAATATTTTTAAGCCCAAGCCCCTTGGACACTGCAGCTCTTTTCAGTTTTTGCTTATACACAATTCATTCTTCGCAGCTAGTTAAGCTGAAGAAGCCTGGGAATAAAGTTTGAAACAAGGTTAATAAAGTTCTTTGCCTAGGAAAAAAAAATAATAAAAAAATAAAAACCAACTTTGGAGAAGAGACGGTGCCGGAACACACAGGGGTCTGTCTACACAGGAGGTGTGAAGCCGTCGTGCCCAGTGTCCGAGCAGGTCAGCCCCCTGTCCCCTGACTCCCCGGCCCCCGACTGTCACCCCCGAATCAGAGATGGAGCAGGAAACCCTGAGGGGTGAGGAGTGACTGGGAACGCAGAAGAGCCGGCTTCCTAGGCAGGCGCTGACCACAGCCAGGTCGGCAGATGAGCTCGGGGGTCAGTGCGCTTTGCTTTTTATGTTTGTGTAACTGGACATTTTAAGAGTTTGACCAGAGACACCGTGAGAGGCTGAGTTCCGTTCACTTTCACATGTGCGGTCATGGCCCTGCTTAGTCCTTAATGAGAAGTTTTCAAAGATGTGGGTTGGAACTAAAGGTTTCTCTTGGCTCTCTCACTTTTGCCAAGTTAAAAACAAAAGGTCCTTGTGTAATGGCTCGTGCCCCAAGATGTGGGGTGAACCCGTGCCTATCTTGGGAGCCCACAGACAGACCTGCCCACTTTTCTCCGTGGTGGAGTCTTGCATCTCTGGCTGGAGGTCCGTGAGCATGGTCTGCCCTGTCAGCCAGCACTCCTGGCGGCCACGCACATTGAACATTTAGGCCACAGGGTGGGTGGCAGGGGGCGCCTGGGGGTCTCAACTCCAGGAGACAGTGAGTCCAGTAGCCAGACTGGGGAAGCTGGGCACCTGGGCCTTCAGAACAGCTAGAACTAGGCTCGCTGTCCATGTGGTTGGCATGTGCTCAAAGCGGCTTCCTGCCGATTTTGCCACCAGAGATAGAACCTGATGGCGGAGGCCGAGCCCTGAAGGACCGGCCGTCCTTCCCCCTCCAGTTTGACCCCTCATCCCCACCCCGTTGGCTGGGCAAGCCCCTGGGCGCCAGACGTGGCCTGATTTAGCACTTTGTCCCTTGGGGGCAGCGGCGGGGGCAGCTCCCTGGCCCGCCTCTGCACTGGGAGCCGTGGGCTTCTGTCTTTCCCGCTTTGATGCCGATGCGCACTTTGTGTATGGACAGCATTTGTGTTGCCGTATATAATACATTTTTATCATTTAAGAAACAACATCCACAGTGGCATTAGAGGCTATGTTAAATCAGGAAAGAAAATTCACCTACGTCCCTCCGTCCTCCCATGGATGACGTGGCGTTTCTGCGCCTCTTTAGAGTCCTTTCAGTGAGGGTTCTCCTGTCTTCACTGGGTGTCTCCATGGAAACCCGTGGCACCTCTGTGCTCCTGCTCTTCCAGCTTTTGTGGGATGCTCTGCTTGTTGTGGGTCCTTCACGCTTGACCTCTCACGGATAGCTCTCTCCTGACCTTCACACGTAGAGCTCCCCCTTCTCCCTCTCCTCTTGGAGTATTGGGTAGATTTCTAGGCAGGAGTCCTTGGGTCAAAAGGGGTAGCCCTAACGCCCCTCCTTGCCGGACCTGGTGCAAGTTATCATTCTAAGGTCAATCAAAAATTTGGGCTGCAGCCCCCTCAGTCCATCCTAAGAAAGCCACCTGCGTAAAGGTCTATTGTGGAAATGGGGTGATTTGAGATTCTAGTTACAGAAGGTTCCGAGGCTCCCCTGGAGTGGTGTTCTCCCAGGGATAGGCCCCGCAGTTAGCCCTTCCTGTGTGCCCAGCACACTGCTCGGGAAGCTTCACTCCTGCTACCCGACCGGAAGATGCTTCTGGTGCATGGGCCTTGGAGGAAGAGCAACTTTGGGTTTGGTTATGCCATGTCGTATCCTCTTTCCTTCTTCTCTGGAGCACCTGGAAGTGAGGACTGATGGCACATGGGCGTGTGTGGGAGTGTGTACCCCTGGGGGCTTCTGCTACACTCGGAGACCATCAGCCTGGCTCTGTGGAGCTGGGTTTGGCTTCTGGTGGTCCTGTTTTTAATCTCTCTCATGCATTGCTTCGATGGAAAATGGAAGGACTTGCTGCTTACGTTTCAGAACAAAGTTGTAAAATTTACGTTCTGTGCCTGATGCGAGGAGCAACCCCTTCCCAGCGTTTTGCTGGGTTGGGTTACGGCTTCACATGAACGCTGCTCAGCCAAGTCATACTGTGTCTGGAGTCACCTGCCGGACTCCCATGCACACCCACCTGGGGCACTGGCGGAGCCCTTTAGGGGCATCCTTGCTAGAGAGCAGAGAGGAAATCAGTCATTTCAAAACCTTTTTGTTTTCTTTCACCCAGCAAAAAGACGGGACCTTTGCTGCTGGAGGCTACATGCCCCCTCTGCGGTTTAAAGCGCTCACCCTCTCAGTCGTGTTTGGAACCATGGTGGGTGGAATCATGATCCCCAACGGTAAGTGGGAGGGCTGCTCTGGGGACTGGTTTCCTGCCGGGTCTGTCCTCTCCCCTGTCCTCCATCCTTGCTGTGACGTGGAGGGACCCTGGGGTGTCACTGCCTGGAGTCTCCGTGCTCAGCCAAGACGCTCAGCGTCTCACGTCACCCTCTCTAGTCTCCTAAAAAAAAATCTAGAGACTCTCTTCGAATCTTCCCCCCCCACCCCCCGCCCAGAAAGGCATGGGACAGTGTAGCGGCCTCAGGGAGCCACAAGCGTGTGGAAAGCTGAGCAGGTGAGCCCCGGGTTGACCCCCGGGTGGGGTGCCCGCCTGATGGGTGGAATCAGTGGTGATACTGTTTGTTGACCCCTGAGTTTATCAAACAGTTTGATAAACTGAGTTTATGCATCACCAAGGGAGGGGAAGGGCCTGAGCGAGATTCCTGTTGTCACACGCTTCCTCCCAGACACACGGAGCTTACGTCATCAGATACTGAGTGGAGCCCACGTGTGCTCGCCCAGCTAACCAGCCAGGCGCGCACACATGTCCTGGGACCCGTCCTGCTCCGTCACTTGCCGAGCGTGGTGGAGAGGGTGGTGATTTAAGATGAGCCATCTGAGAAGCCCCCACTGGATGCCAGACGCTCTGTGGGGAGCCAGTGCGGTGCTGTAGGCCTCGCTCGGTGCTGGGCCCCTCCCGCCTCACCGAGGCGCACACCGTCAAGGGGGAGAGCCACGTTGCCTCATTTCACTGGCCAGGAAACTGAGGTGCAGGGAGTAGGGAGCTTGCCTGAGACTCCTGGCTGGAAAGCTGCGGCCTCTGGTTCTCACGGGGCTGCTGATCCCACACTGTTCTCTGTCTGTGGTATCAGACAGGATACTCTTCAGAAGGCTGTGCCCCCACTCCTGCTGGTGTTCTGGAGGCGTGCGTACATAGGCCTAGCGGCAGGGCTGGCTTGCCCGCCTGTGCTTGCTGAAAGCCTTCATTCGGGTCCTTGCCGGAGCCCCTGGCGCTCACCCCCTCCTGTTGCTTCTCGTTCCCAGTGGAGACGATCCTGGGCCTCACGGGAGCGACGATGGGAAGTCTCATCTGCTTCATCTGCCCGGCTCTGATCTATAAGAAAATCCACAAGAACACCCTTTCCTCCCAGGTGAGTGCTGCTCATCCCTGCCCAGGACCGGTCTGGGGTCCTGTTCTCAGAGGAGAGTTTCTTAGTACAAAAGGTACTTGGTTCTGAAGGTCTGGGAGACGCAGGGCTAGGCCACGCCGCTACCACTGTATGTACGGAGGTTCCCAGGGGCCCGGGGCTGTGCGTGTGCGTGTGCGTGTGCGCGTACGGCACCAGCTTACTTCATCTGAGCGTCGAAGACTGAACCGCTTTTCCCCAAATATGTGTCTGTACGGTGGCTGGACCATCCGTGGGTGCGTGTGCGGCATGCTCCGTGCCCCTCCCCCATCCCCGTCCCCCACTGTCTCACGGGGGGACGGTCTGGTGGGGTCCCCTCTGCCATGCTCTGCTGTCACGGAGAAACTGCGATGATCCTCCGTGTACATGAGTGTTGGGATGTATTTGGGAACGTGTCTGTAGGAAGCTTTCTGGAAAAGGAATCCGTGTGTCCAAGAGAGTGAGCGTGTGTAACCGGCGTGGCTCTGACCCACGGCCCACGCAGAGGTCAACGCTGTCGCTTCCCAGGCGAGCCCAGGCCTCTTTCCCTCAGCAGCCTGCAGGGACGTCAAGATCTTTCCGTGTGTTCATGAGCTACTGCATTTCTTTTTCTGTGAACTGTCCACGTGTCTTGCTCACCTTTTATGGACTTAGACTGAGCTTTTTCCTTTTGGGATGTTTCGGTAATGGTTTCAGGAGTGCCGTAGAGCAAGCATGCGGCAAAGCACCTAATTCTCCATACAGCGTGATGACCGTTTGCCAAGTGAACCCAGCCACGGAGCCACCGTCCAGGGCAGGTTTAGAATATTCCAGCACCCAAAGCTTCCCCGGGCGTCTCACAGTCTTTCCCCTCCAAAGGTTACTGCTCCTCTGTCTTCTAACGTTTGGGAATAATTTTGCTTGTCCTTGGAGTTGGTGTAAACAGAGTCTCAGAATACGTGTTTGTGTGTGTCTGGCCTCCTTACTCGAGCGTCACGTCTGAGGTCGGCCATGTCGCTGTGGGGTGGGGCAGCCTGCCCATTCTCGCTGCTGTGGAACACTGCGCCGTCCCCCGGAGCACACAGTGGGGCTCTCTGCACGACTAATCTGTGATGTGTGTCTGCGTGTGCGTGACTCACCGAGGCAGCGTTGTTGGGTCCTGGGGTTATGTCTGTCCAGCTTTAGGAGATTTTGCCAAGCTTTTTCCAGTTTTCCCAAAGTGGTCCTCCGGCACCATGTTAGAATTCTAGCTGCTTTATCCTCTGCTGTCCCTCTCACACATGCTGCCCTTCCGAGGGGTGTGCAGTGGTACTTCATTTGGGTTTTAATTTGCAATTCCCAGGTGACTATTGATGTTGAGCACCTTTTCACGTGCTTATCAGCCGTGTGAGCGCCTTTCTTTGTGAAAGTCTTTCGCGTCTTGCCCCGTTTTACCTACTGGGTTGTCTTCTTAATGATTTGTGGAAGTTTTTAAAAGATTCTAGATCTAAATCTTTTTTCAGAAATACAGATCAAAAATGTTTTCTTTCACTCTTGGCTACCTTTTCATGTTCTTCATGATACCTTTTCACCAACAGGTGTTCTTCATTTTATTTATTTTTATTTTATTTTTTAAGATTTATTTATTTTAGAGCGTGCATGCGAGTGTGTGCAGTGGGGAGGGGCAGAGGGGGAGGGAGTGAGAATCTCAAGCAGACTCCGCACTGAGCTTGGAGCCCGACCTGGGGCTCGATCTCACCACCCTCAGATCACGACCTGAGCCGAAACCAAGAGTCGGACGCCCAACTGACTGCGCCACCAGGCGCCTCAGGTGTTCTTCATTTTAGCATAGTTCAGTTTGTCACCTTTCTTTTTGGCTGGGCACTTTTTATGTGCTGCCCATTTATAAGGTCCTGCAGATAGCCTTGTCGGTTATGTTCTAGAAGCTGTTTATTTTATTGTCCACATTCAGATTCGTGCTCCGTCAGGAATGGATGGGGAGGTGGTGCTGTCATCAGTCCCCTGTGTACCCGGGGGGAGTGCTGGGGACACCTCTGTTGCTGGTCTGTCAGTCCGTCCTTGTCCTCCTGTGGCCCTGCTCCGAGTGCTGTGGCTTTACAGCGAGCCTTCATGGTGGGCGATGGGCCCCCGTGACCTTCATTCTTCTCCCAGAGGGTCTTTCCGTCACTGGCCCTTAGCGTTTGCAGCTAAGTCTGCTTGCCAACCTCCTCCCGCACAGCCATGTTGGATTTTGACAGGGTTGTACCAAACCATGGACTGAAGGACTGACCCTACTCTTCAAGTCACAGCATTCCCCAAGTTTCCTTATGTCTTCTTTCGCCCATGGCTTCCTTATTTTTTTTTTTAAAGACTTTATTTATTTATTTGAGAAAGAGAGTGAGAGAG